CAGCATAAGAAAGACACAGCACAAACTAAAGACACAGCACAATAAAAAATAGTTTGTTTATACAAAATGATTGGTGTTAAATAGTTTGTTACATTTTGCGGAGAGGGGAAGGGGGATCAAGGGAAATTCTCTACAACTAAAGACACAGCACAAGAAATCCAGAGACTAACATTAACAAAAATAACAGAAATCAACAATATTTCATTAACCCTAAATAAATTAACAAAATCACAACAAAATTACCATTTCTCCCTTCGTCGATTTGGGGCTGCTAGAGAGCTGACAGTGACAGATCGAGTTTGAGAGAGTGAGAGACAGAGAGAGCTTGAATCTAGAGACTGACAGTGAGACAGATCGAGTTTAAGAGAGTGAGAGACAGAGAGAGCTTGAATCGTGTGAGAGATCGAGATGAGATGAGAAGGATTTGGCTTGGAGAGAGCTTGAATTGAGTGAGATTGAGAGAGAGACAGAGACAGAGAGTTGGGTCTGGTCTGGGTATGGAGTGAGAGCGAGCGAGAGCGTTTCTTCTTTCTGTCAGAGTGAGTGAGTGAGAGGGTTTGGCTTTGGAGTGAGAGACAGCGTGTTTCTGTCAAAATTATATTTCAATATTACTATTCGGTACGGTATGGTTTTAAACCGGTATCAAAAAATTGATACCGCTACCGTACCATTCTTTATTGGTACGGTACGGTACGGTACCAAAAATCTCCCCATACCAAATAAAACGGTATGAAATCAGTACGGTACGGTTCGGTTAGGGTACGATTTCGGTATTTCGGTTTTAGATGCCCACCCCTAACCACGCCTAGGTGGGGCCATCTCTTTCAATGTGGAAAATGTGGAAGTACCTGACCAGCGAGCTATGGTTTGTTCAATGGTTGAGTGCGACAAGAGACGAAGGTCTCGGCCCAAAGAGGGAAAGATATGGAACTTTGAAAAATAAGTTGAAAAGAGTGAACACAGTGGTGCACATCTACGAGGATGTCGACACCATCAGTGGGGGAGAATGTCACGGATCGCACTTGAGCGTGTGTTATCGTGACTCCGTTGGGACATCTATGCGCTTATGAGGTAGTCTAAGTGTGGAAGAGCGAGAGCTTAAGAGCTAGAATGGTTTGTGTTGGCTGGATTGCATGGATGAAGTGTATTTTGGGTATTTCCGAAGGTTACGAGAGGAATCTGAGGAATCTAAAAATACTGGGACGTTCGTGATGTTGAGATACACGCAACGCAACTGACAGTTCGCCATTCGGAGTTCGTATGAATTAGTTATGCTCAATTATGACTCATCGTGCGTACGTGATGTTTCCTCCTGGCAAAAGGCTAAATGCATAAAATGCTATATATGGGATGACATTGTGTCATGCTCTCCACCACCCTTGGTACTTACACCCTTTGTGGCACTAAGCGAGCATCCTTATGACATTGGAAGTAGTCATAAGGGCGGGAATAAGATTGTTGAAGGATAATCTATGTCTCCGAGGGAAAGGAATTCCCGAGGACAGTACGAACACGAGGAGCCGTTCGTATTGCACATCGTTGTAAAGAGTGAGGTCAACGTATGGCATTCGCTATGCCATCGGCTAGCGAGACATTTGACAATACTTGATGGACTTGGCTTGGGGTTTGGCCTTATCTAAGATGGAAGGAAGATATTCGGATGCCGATACGCATGGGTTGTGACCCTATGCAATGCATAGACGATTATGTGGGACATTCAGAATACATATGTCACCAAGGCTTGGGCGACATGCGAGTGTGACAGCTTGCGTGTATAGCTTGAGGATGTGGGCTATGAAGGTTGCTAACGGAATGACCGACAGAAATGTGGGTAAACTGATGGTGTGTTGGATCGCTATGTCTTGACTTGGACATGAGCGAGCCACGAGTTTGGCATGCGATGTGGTCGATGCAATTGACGTGTCTTATGCAACGCTTGATGTATGGGCCTCGAGGGTTCGTTGCCGGATGAGGGGTGATTATGTTGTCACAAGGAAGTGTGACTCGTTGTCTAGCTATGGGGCATGGCGCTTATGGGAGACGGCACATGATGGTGAACCTCTCGCAGAGTTGTGAGAGTCATGAATATCATAAAGAGGGAGAAGGCTGACTAGGATCCGAGGGGATCCTGGGCCGCACGGGTGTGTTTAAGTGAGCGAAATGTGCGTTTTGCTTCCGCTGCGCGGCGTCACACGGTCATCCTGTGACACTGTGCTCATTGGTGAAACTCTTGATACTGCTCTTATAGACACGTATGCCAAATGTGGCAGCATTGAAAACGGGGTCTATGAAGTCTTTAAGATGATGGCACAAAAAGATGTAATTGCTTTGGGGGTTATTATTTATGATTTTGCCATACATGGGCAAGCTGAAATGTGCTTTGAGTTGTTTGATGACATGGTTGCCAATGGAACTTACCCGAATGAAATTATTTATGTGGCTATTTTTTCTACTTGCTCCATGCGGGCAATGTTGAAATGGGATATCATGTACTTTTATTTTATGAAATGGTGCATGAGTATGGGATAAGACCTTCTTGGCTGTGCCAGTTAGCTGTATGAGGCGGAATAACTCATCATGTCACTGTCGGAAAAGCCTAATTTGGTTTACTTGGTGCTTGTGGGATGCACCATAACCTGAGGAGAGGAAACCTTGCTTTCAAGCACAACTTGAGCCAATATGTCTGATGACAGATATAAACCTGCAGGGTTTATGTTCGATACGGTTGCTGGGAGAAAAGGAAACTGCAAGTAAAATTAGGAAGCTCATCAGAGAAAATGACTTAGAGACAACTGGTAGACTGAACCTCATTGAAATAGATGGCGTGGTCCATGAGTTTGAAGCAGCAACTATTAATCATAGCAAGCACAATGAAATCTACAAGATATGGGGGGAGGACAATAATAGAATTTTAGACATAGATGAAATTGAAATTAGAACTCCAATTACTGCAGCAGCTCTTTTATGTGGTGATTTTTAGATGGTATTTGATCTTATAGCTAGCAACCAAAGGTTGAATGAATATAACTTAATGCACTGCTTTGAGCTTGATCCAATATTACTACGCATAAGCATGATGAAATTTAATGGCAAAGAAGAATGATTGTTCATTATTAATACTTGGTCAATTTGTCTTCAACCCAAGCTTTACATATGATTTACAATATATGGCATCATTAGTTGAAAATTCTCGAATAGCTTCATTGATTGATTGATAAATTTTTTGTATATTTCTCGCAACTAATTCCCAGTACTAATTGATTGATTTAATTTGCGAAACAATCTCACTCACATGTTACATTATCATCTCATCTATCATCATATTTAGAAAGACATCTATCCCTTTGGCAAATAGAAGATTACTCATTATGCATACCAAAAGAAATTTACTATCCAAATAATAGTAAAAAGAAAAAAAAAGAGTTACTATGTAGTTAATGTAGTAGTTGTGGGGATTCGACAAAAAAAAAAAAAAAAAAAAGGGTAGTGGGGATAGTAAAAAGCAAAAGGCAATATGTAAGTATCCAATTAAGATTTTTAAAAGAGTTAAATGGAGTTATAAAGTTTGTAGAGTTCAATGTAGTTCAATTAATTTCTATCAACTCCACATAGAGTTTGATTGAATTCCTAGATTGATTTTAATGGTGTTTGTTAGAGTTTTACGTAGATTTTAAACCTTGTACTTTCTCTTATTTTAGCTAGCACTGTGGATCCAGGTTTGACCATCATCTCTGGGGCTATTGTGTTTAAGGCCTTCAAAACTTTGTTGAAATTTTTGCTTGTTGTGAAATGTGATCGCTCAAATGTGTCACGAGTTTGACAATATCGAGAATTTTGACCAACATCAGGGTACATCTTATATAGCTGTCGAAAGTGTTGAGGATCCTCATTCAGTACGTTATTTATATAATTGTACCCAATTGTAGAAATTGGGCATTGAGCTAACGAACGTTCAATATGACCATCATGTAAGAGAGCCATTAAAACATTGAGCACTTGAGCTATTGCTTCCGTTGCCATCAACAATATCTTAATGGTTTCAGAATCATGTTTCTCTAATTCTTCATCATCCATTTCCTCTTCTTCTTTTTCTTCCTCGATTTCTTCATTCCATAGTACTTCATCTACTTCTTCCATCTCCATTATTTACAACAACAACAAAATATGAAGTGCACATATAACATTGTAACACAAGCAATACTCATAAGTTATCGATATTTGATGAACAGCAACAAAAAAGAGAGAATGATTGTAGATGAAGAAGGCTATCGATATTTGATGAACATCAACAACAAAAAAAGGATGATGTAGAAAAAGTACAGAAACAAAAACAACAAAAAAACAGCAACCAAAAAACCATTCAAGAAAAAAAAACAGCAACCAAAAAAAAGGGAAAAAAGAAGAAGGAAAAGTAGAAACAACAATTGCTTGGTAATAAGGCAGACGTGCAAACCTTGTTTCATTTTCTTAAGATAAAGATGTTGTAAGTGTATAGGCAGGCAGCTCATGAAACATCAGCCTAATATATGACGGCAACAATAACTATTCAACTATTCATACATGATGTGCATCGAATACAAGCAACAACAATTGCTTGGATATATGGTGATGTATAACACAACAATTATTCAAGCACTGGAAAAGCGTAGAAAGTGTAGAAAAAGAGGAGATTTTTTACCTCTATTTGACAAGCACACACGTTCAAGGACTGGAAAGCGTAGAGCACGTTTAAAGTTTCTAGGGTTCACATAAGATTTGTTAAAGCCTTTTGTATTTATACTTATCACTTTATTTTCTAACGAAATCGGGCAACTTATTAATTCCTTCAAAATAAATTACTTTTTGAATACACTTAAATCGGGCAACGTATTTATACTTACCACTTTATTTTCTAGAGAGAGATATATAATAAAATCCAATCCCAACTAATATTCACGCACATATCTATCAAGCCCGCCACCACCACCAAAACCAAGAATCCAGCTGTCATTATTTTGTTCACATTTGTTAGAATCACTTAAAGTCGGAAATATTTTGGAATTCGAAGGTCTCTCATTCTCATTCTCCCTTTCGCTTCTGAACTCTGAGAGAGAGAGATCCCAGAAAAGGTCATCGAGATGTCAAGAGCGTCGTCGGTTGGATCTCAATCTCAATCACTCAGTGACAGCAGTTTCTCTCGCACCTTCAAGTACTTGCTCGGTCAGTCTCTCTCCGTCTCTCTCACTCTCTCTCTCTCTCTCTCTCTCTCTCTCTCACACACACACACACACACAAACCCAAGAATGAAGATGATGCAAATTTGCTTTCTTTTTTGTTGCATCAGCTACGCAATTCTTGTCAAGGGGAATTCCATTTATATTCAATGCGTGGATCGTCAGGCACCTTTCAGTTGAGGACTTTGCGGTAACAATATATACTACTTTCTCCATCCTTTACTGCATTTTCCAAGTTCCTGCTTGATTTTCTCTTAAATCTTTGTCTATTTTACATGTTTCCATATATTTTCTTTTTCTGCTTTGGATTCAACTGTAGCCCACATGATAAATTTGTAAGCTTTAGTTTGTTACTTGTTCTTCCATTAAATTGGGCAATTGTCCAATCTTATACTGGACCAAACTCTAGCAATCCAGTCCAATACAGCCTCTCAAAGAGCTAGGCTTGGAGCTTGAATATCTGTTGTGGCATTTCCATTTGATTTGGAAATTAAATTACTTCACTGTGAAGTCATTTGTGTATTTCTTTATTCTTCTGGTGGCAGCTCTATGGAGTACAATTTCCTCTTTTTGTCACCTGTGTACTGTTTCTCAGTCGTGAGGGAGTTCGGCGAGCATGCCTGCGGGCAGACATGAAAAGGTGCTTCTTCATTTTAATAGCAATGTGTTTATTTGTACCAACTAAGGACGTTTTATTCTTATTTATTATGCTACAGTGATGGTACTTCAACAGAAGAAAATATAGCAAAGATAATGACATTTGCCTGGTTAATTCCCCCATGTGGAATTCTTCTTACTGTTGCAGCATGCGGTGTTGTCTTCTGGAATAAAGGCTTAAGCTTTTCTGATCCATATGGGCAAGCAATCTTGATTAATGGTAGATTGCTATATATATTATTTTCTTTTAGAAAAGTATGTCTTGTTGCTGTTGCTGCTTCTCTCTGTTTATGGAGATTTTCACATATAATTTGTTATGACTACTCATTCAAAAATTATTTATGAGTACGATATATGTTTGGTTTTCAAGTTCATTTGTGATTTGTGACTCATCAATATTGTTTCAGTACTTTTATAACAAGAATCGTTGATGGTTGGAAATCATAGACCATTTGGCTTTGCTTAAATGAATTAATTGTTTCACATTAATGCATCAGTGACATGAGTCATTTTTACGTGGCAGGCTCTGCATGTATTTTTGAACTACTGGCAGAGCCCTTGTATATCCTTTCTCAGAACTTGCTTCTGCTTAAACTAAGGCTAGTAGTTGAGACAGTTGCTACTCTTTCCCGCTGCATAACAATGTTCATTCTCATTGTCAAGCAAACTGACATGGTAAGAGCTTTTATCAAATTATTCTGGCAATCTTGATTTTTATTCATTTTTTAACATTGTTCCCTATATTCAAAATGAAACCTGCGAGGAAGTGTAATGATCTGTTTGATTCCCTTTTGTAATATGAACATCATATGGGTGGTGTACACTGGTTCCTTAACCAGTAATTTTGTGCTTTAATGGAACCGATTTATTGGTTACTGGACATGGGAACAAATCTTGTAAAATATACTTTTTAACCTATATCCATTTGAGAGGACCATGAAGAATTAAATTTGTATTCTGCCAGTGAACCTGAATAGTCAGTATGAGTAGGTGAAGACCTCTTGATGCAGAATGCATATTATTAGTTTTCCTAATTCTACTTGGATTAGTTTTCCTATTATTAGTTCATAATTCTACTTGGATCAGTTTTCCTATTATTAGTTTTCCTAATTCTTAAAGATTCCTTCCTAGGAAAGGATTTCTTATTAGTTAATTTGCTTTCCTATTTCATAAAGTTTACTTTTCCTTTTCCTAGACTAAAAAGGGTTTTGCCTCTATAAATAGAGTTGTTTGTAATCTTTTAAGGCAGACTTGATTAATGATAAATTTCCTTACTTTAAACTCTCTGATTCCTTCCCTTTCCCTTCGTCTCTTCGATCTCTAATTCTTCGCCTCGATCCCTTATTTCTTCTTTGTTCTATTGCTCAAGTATTTACTCTAAATCTACGGGCTGTTCTACATCAATTGGTACTGTAGTAAGGATAGTTACTGTAGTAAATTGGAGTGTTTAGAACTGACGCACCAACTGAACTTACTTAAAGGGTGGTTATCAATCCTTGACCTTGATTATTTCTGGTATTAGATGCAACTTCTAATTATGAATGATCAATTGATCGGTTGCAGGATAAAGCGATTGTATTTTCATTGTCACAAACTGCGTATGGAGTGTGCTTGTTCCTAGGTTATTGGGTCTATTTTCTTCTTTTTGGTACATGTAGAAGTTCTGCTATTTTCCCATTCAGGTATTTTTCTTTTTTCTTTCTTCAAATTCTACATTATTTTCTGTAGATGATGAATTTTCATTTTCTGTTATGCCTCAGAAGGGAAAAATTTTATTGGATAATGCATGAGTATAATCCAATGTTATCTGAAAAGACATACGTTAAGAATGGATTCTTCTAGTGGAGAGAAGTAGGGAATTCATAAGATCTTTAGCTGATGTCTCTTGTGGCCAAATATGTGGGCATCACGCTATTTGATTTCTTTGACCGCAGAAATGACTTCTTATTTATTTTTGGCAAGCGTTTTTGTAGAGTGCCTTGTTGGTCCTGGTCTTATCTGGGAGGCAATAATCCAGTGTCATATGTTCACTATGAATGGTTTCATGGGAGCTAGTCAATCTTTATTATCAAATGTGTGGATTTGTGTAGTTGAGTGGAATATTATCACAACTTGTATTTCTTCACTCGTCAGATTTATTTGTCATATTCATATGTATCGACAATTACAATTGGCTGGCTTAGCAGAAAGGATATGATAAGCAACACTGTTTTTCAATTAAATCTTATGTCTATAACAAATTTGCTTTAGTTGATAGCTTAATACTTTCACAGAGTAAAGAATAAGAAGCATTATGATGGGCAGCTGTCTGACATGTGTAAGTTGTTTACACTTCAATCCTTGATGAAGTTGATCCTTCAAGAAGGACAAAGTCTTGTCCTTTTATGGCGGGCGACATATTATAACCAAGCCGTATATGGACTTGTGGACAAATTAGGTAATTATTTGGTCCAGATCTTTTGAGTCATACAATTAATCACTTTGTCATCACAATAAGAGCTGATTTTGTTCCGAGACTACATCAGAATAGAAAACATGTCAGTAATTTTGAATTTTATTTTTATGATATTTATCACTTATTAGGGAGCCTAGTGGTGAGGCTGGTGTTTCTTCCTTTTGAAGAAAGTTCCTATGCTACATTTGCAAGGTCTGCATCAGGTTTACTTTCCTCCTTTGTTTACTTGATGGTTCTTTTGATGTTATCTTGATTTTGGGTTAATTTCTTCCTGCTTTTGTTTCTTGTCATGTGAGTTACAAATGATTCTTCACATATGCTTTATGCACACTTCAAATTTGGTTTGTATCCATGGAGAAAAATCCATGGTTCCATTAATATTGCATCATACAGTGCTAAATCTAATAAACTTTAATTTTCCAATAATATCTTTCATTGACAGGAAAAGACCCAAATAAAGACAGGAGGCTAGGAAGTAGCCTTACAGAGGCCCTTAAACTGGTTTTGTTAATAGGTGCGTGCATGTGTGCATTTCAATTTCCTTTTCTCCTTTGTTTATACAGATCAAAATTATAGACAGTATATATTGATATATGTGCATAGTCTCGATCTAATAAGTAGCCAAGTTGATTATTGTAATAGCATCTCAGTCGTTTAGATCACATAAGAATCTATGATGAACAGAACCCAAGGGACTCAAACAACCTAGAAAATGTCTTTTAGAAAAGAAAAATTTATAAAGTTAATCGTAGCATGCAGATATGCAGACACTGCATGTTATGTTGTAACAGAGAGATCAGGTAGTGAAAACACTTGTATTGGCCTTTGATTCATTGTATAATGAGTAAATTAAAAGATCTGATTTTGATACATTATGAAATAGGACAAATTGATGACCACAAAAGGAGCGAGATAATTATCTATAGTAGGAATTAATATTTGTTCTTTTCTTGAAGTCTTCTTCCTTAGTTGTTTCCTTGGTCTCACGATGCTCAGATATCCTGTAGGTCTTGTATTTATGGCGTTTGGTCCAAGTTATGCTTATTCTCTCATCAGATTGTTGTACGGACAGAAATGGAGTGATGGGGAAGCATCAACAGCCCTTCGATATTATTGCATTTATATAATTGTTCTGGCTATGAATGGTGAGTAATGCTCTGGTTCTTCTTGTCAATATTCGCAGGCATATGAGCCATAGTTACTGCTTTTCTATTTTATGGGTCTTTATGATTTCTTTATTCGATTACTAATTGTGGCATAATATTAATGAGATATGAAATTTTTTATGGTTACTTCCTTTCGAATGATGAATTCCCTTATTTTTGAAGTAAAGGAATTCGTATTAAGATGTAGTAAGGCCGCTAAGGACTAGGATACTAAAGTGGTGGTGATCGTTTGAAAAAATAAATCGTATGTGTGTCCCAATCCATTGACAATCTGCTAGTCTTTCATTTGGAACTGGTACCCCTTTTATATCATCAATTTTTGGTTGTGTTTGGTGTTAACTTAAAGATCTTACTGCTGTCCCTAAAAGGTATCAAGCTAGAACTGAGATTGTGCTTTGGTTTTACATCAGGAACATCTGAATCATTTCTACATGCTGTTGCAAAAGAGAAGCAACTAGTACGGTCAAACCTTTCATCATTTATGTTCGCAATATTACATGTAGTACTGAATATCCTGCTGATCAACTCAGCTGGTGCAGTTGGCTTAATTTTGGCAAACTCAATAAGTATCCTTTTCCTAGTTTAGGCAGTTTTCTTAAGGTTCGTTTGGTAAAGCTTTTGCCTTATATTTTCTGTTACTTTTTAAAATTAAAGTCACTAGTTATTTTTCATTTTTTTCAAAGAAAGCAGCTGCTACATTTTACAGATGCTTTTGTCAGAAGAGTAAGAACATAAGGTTGGTGCTTTTCCCATGTATAAAGCTCACAGTATAGAAATGTCTTTATTCAACTTTTGATGCATTTGACCTGAAATTTTTTTGAGGCATAGAAATGTTTTTATTCAATATTTCTTATCTATTTTTGTTTCACAAAAAATTACATGACACGGCAATATAGATGACATCATCAGTCTGGAATGGTGTTGATCGGTAAGTAATGTGCATTGTCAGCAAATGCAATTCAATTTATTGGTTCTAGTCTCTGGTTTCTTGACATGGTAAAGATATGATCCTGAGAATAGCGTACTCTGGGGTATTCATCAAGCAATACTTCCAGGTATAATGTTAATTATTTATCTCGCATGTTTCGTCAATGATTTTAACCTCATAGGTTTGTATGTGCTAATTTTTCTTCTGTCTTCACAGGATTCCTCCTTATTTTCTTTTTACAGATGCTTACCTTCAGGATGGAAGGTCCTACTGTTTTCAGGAATAACAACTATTATTTCTGAGAGGATATTTCTGGACAGGGAGAATTTCTGGCCGACTTTCTTCGTTCATTTCTCCATTGGGGTCGCTTGCTTCTGCATGTCGTCGTTTGTCATGTATCTTCTTGTGCCCTGTGTCCGCTTTGAAATTGTTGTTGTCATGCTACTCTTACTAATTTGCACATGAGGATATTCGTCACCTGTAATATTTCTATTTTCCTCAACAGATATCGCCGCGAGAGATCCTTCATCAACAGAATTATCCGCTTCCGCGATCACTCAGACTAAGAAAACGGACTTTTCATGATCCATCTAAGCGTGTAGAGAATATTTATTTGCCACTAATCTGATTGACAACTTCTTACATACGTATCTGGGTATGAGGATTACCGATTACAATGCAGAAAAAACAACAGGACGGGGATTAATGATACCTATGGAAGGTAACTGTAAGCACCTACTGATATATCTATGTAATTTGTTTGAGTATGCATTAATGAGAAAGAAACAGGTTCTGGATTGAAGACAAATGCACAAGGGAGAACCCATTTAGTGGGAATTTTTAAAGAATTTATACCAGAAAGATTTCATTACATTTCATATGTGGGAAATTTCAAAGCAGGGATAATTATCATGTAAATCTCCTTCCCATAAGAACTAGATTTACTGCAATAGCTCTTTTATATGGTTTGAATGAATAAAACTTAAAGTTGATCACTGCTTTGACCTTGATCCAATATTACTACGCGTAAACATGATGAAATTTAATGGCAAAGAAGAATGATTGTTCATTATTAATACTTAGTCAATTTGTCTTCATAGCTCATACAAAAGTGTACATTACATTTGGATTAATTGGTCAAACCATACCAACCGCTAAAGTTTATAATTGGGTTTCTTACTTTCAAAGCATTATTGGAGAGGATGCTATTATTATTGCACATAAATTATATTTTTAGTCAACATAATTGGCAGCAATTGTTATATGTAGTTTAGGAATATTGAAAATCAGAAAACTCATTGCCATACGAAACAGCGATATCAAAGAATTGACAGGACCATATACAACAAATGTTGACATGCCAATGAAAATATGGGTCTAAATTGATCCACGTAGCCATCTCTCTAGGGTTCCAACTTTCATGGTTGAGAACTTGAGACTAAAGAGTCCATTGATGGCCAACCTCTCTCACTCCATGGTCTATATACTAGAGGTTTGGTATAATAATAAGACCTATTATAGGTTTCACACTAATCAACCACCATTAAACATCTTAATTTTAATTTCCTAATAACACAAACTTGCATCTTTAGTCGAAATTCTGTGTACAAATAGGTTTATCGACTAATCGAGAAAAAGTTTGCACATGCCAAACAATCAATTCCCACCATGAATTGACCAATTTAATTTGTGAAACAATCTGACATGTTATATTATCATATATCATATTTAGATAGACACATCAATCTCTATGGCATATAGAAGATTACTCATTAATGCATACCAAAAGATATTACTTTCTAAATAATAGTTAAAAAAAAGATAGAAAAAAAAAAGTTACTGTGTAGTTATTATAGTAGTAGTGGAGAAGGTAGAAAGTAAAAGGCAGTGTAAGTATAAATGAAAATCCACCGACGCTTAGACCTGGATTGAGAGATTTGAGAGACGGAGAGAGAGCGAGCGTCTGGTTGGGAATCGCAATCGTCCCACCAGCCGGCCCCAGACACACACAGAGTCCCCTCAGACTCAGAGACAGAGACGACCGGAAGAAGAAGACGACGATCGGACGGTTGAGGCGTTGTGGAAATGACGTCATCATCGGGCGGTGGAAGGTATATGTCGTACTCGCCGTCGCCGTCGGCACCTCACTCTCCTCACCTCTCCGGCCTTCGCTCCGCCTCATCCGCAGCTCTTGTCGCCGCCGAGCAAGAAAAGTATGTCGCGAGATCTGTTCTTAATTTATCGATTGCCTAGATTTCTTGTGAAGAAGAAAGCTTGAGCTTGATTAATTGATTTGTTGACTTTATATCAATTATCATCATCATCATCATAAATATCGTTTTACTTTTTGGCATGGTTTTTTTTCTTTTTGCGAAGCACGATGTTGTATAATAATAGCTTTACTCTCTTTGTTTCCAGATATCTATCTGAGTTACTTGCGGAGCGCCACAAACTCGGTCCATTTTTGCCTTTGCTACCGCATTGCTGCAGGTTAATAAACCAAGGTCAGTTTCGAACTTTGAATTCAGCTTGTTATTGTTTATCTAAACTGCTTTTATGGTACAATTGCAATGTTCAAATGTGAAGACTCTGCGATCAGTAACTGCTCAACCCGAATCAAACGATTCGAATAACTTCACAGGTTATATGGGGACATACCCTTTTCATCTAACATGATTATGCGAAGCAAACAGTTACAAAACACTCAAAGTGGTGAAACATAGTACCATTAGAAATTCATCACTGCTCAACTCACTTAATAGACTCATAATTATTTTAACTTGGTAATATGTGCTAAGTTATTAGAGATGCTAATGATCCTGCAATTCAAATTTATTGAGTTAGTTTATGCACGCACTTCCTAATGATATGTAATGGATTACAAGGACAAGCAACTACTAAGTTGGGACTAATTGTCTCGTGATTTCATTTAGCTCGAGCTACATTGTATTGCATGCCTGTAGGCTGTATGTATTGAGAAATCCAATGAAGGATGCTGAGCTCATCTAAATAATTCAGGGGTACTTTATTTCACGGGGTAGAATTATCAAAACCATCACTTAGTTTATTGGCTTGGAATGCCAGTTCCAACTCAAAATTCATAATTGTTGGAAAGTATTGAAGAGCTGCACATATCACAGGCAACTGGTTTGCATATGAAGCAAAGAACAATAGGATTATAATGATTGCATGTGCAATACCATTACTTCAATCAAGGAGGAGTTCTTCTTGGTTATGTCTCTTCTAGCACCTAGTTCTTTCACATACCTCGGAGGTAGGAGATAGGTTACCTTGTTTAGTCTGACTTGGAGTTCAATATTTAGTTCTCGGTTTCTCTTTTTTTTTTTTGTGGGTCATAACTCGGTTTCTCTTATAGACCTTGTTTTTCTTATTTGTTTACAAATGATGTTTTTTCCCCAAGCAACTGTTGAAGAAATATATTTTTTGGACCAAAAGGGAGGATAAAAGTAAAATCTTGTGTTTATCAGTGGGAAAGATGCTGACATAACAAGCATTGGGTGTTTTCATTTTAATTAGAGGATAACAATATGATAAACCTGGCCGTCATATATAAAGTGATACTGCCAATGTGACTTGGTCTTTGGATGTTTATGGTGGGACCCTCCTTTTGCCAACCATCTCTCCTTTCTACGAACACAGATACCTAAAGACTACGAAATCACCTGTCCCAACCAAAAGGTGAACCTTTCTGAGGTAAAGGTTTTTGATTTGTAGTCTATCTTGTAATCCAACATTAGCAAATTCATTCACCAAGTTCCTAGCTGAAGACATAGCTTGATCCATAAGTTTTTCTTTCTTTCTTTTTGCGAGTGCTTGTTGTTTGCTTCTTCCTGGGTATTTGTTCTTTTGGTTTTCCTTCTCTCCAGGAGGAATCTAAGTATTTTTGTTAGAATCGTAATATTGACATTGATTTCTCAGGTTTTAGCGGTTTTGGTGTTATCATATCAGGTGGTGATGTTTTGTGGATGTATATTCTTTTCGGGGGTTTTGCCCCTCTGTTAACTTGGGTTCTCGTGTATTCTTTTCTGATGGTGTTCATAACTATTGTCACAATTAATAGGCTTCCTTTCTTTATTAACTTTCTCATTACTTTGATGTTACAGTACTCTTTTGAAGTTAAATTTATTGCATGGGGGAAACATTGATTTTAACTGACTCAGAAGAAAAATCCGTGTTGTCTCTCCATTTTGTGGTGACTGCTAACCTTATAACAAATGCTAACCGGTACATCTTATTCTTGAAAATTGACATTTTTGGAGCAGAAATATTGCGTGTAACTACACTGTTGGGGAATGCATCAGTTTTAGGTCAAAGTGGGCTTGAACATGCTAGCCCCCTGGCTTCTGGAGGAATGTTTTCAAATGGAGGTGCTGATGTGAACGGATGGGCTTCACGGTTTCAATCAGAAGTACGGATACTAACCATTAACTTAACATAACCTTATTTTCCATCTAATTTTACTGTCTTTTAGAAGCATTTCTGACACGGCTTTTACATTTCATGCTAACTCTTAACATTTGTTTAGGTGCCTGCAATTAATTTGCCACTTTGAGACAGGTAGTCTGAAGCTAACATCAACAACCAAATGATAAACAATTAGCTTTGCTTCTGGAATTCTACTTCAATTGATATGGTTCTCCATTATTCTGACTTTGTCTGTTTGTCAAGAGAACATATTTCAAGTATATGACATATTATTAGATCTTACACTTGGCATGAGATGCAATTCCTAGTAGTAATACAGAGCATTGAAAAGAGTTTGTCCAATCTAAAGGAGATTATTGGACTCCTGGTTTTCCTGTGTAGAGTACTGACGCTTCGGTTATGTTTGTTAATTGAGTTTGCCTTACAAGGCACAGCCTTTTTTCATTATTAATATGGTGTTGAAACATTTCAGCTACTGATGCCTCTGTATGCAAGAGGGATTGCAAAATGATATTATTGTTGGTTATGGTATTCATTTTATATTTACTGTCCTTGAAATTCATTGTTTTCGACAGTCGTATATATCAGGAAATTTTCCGAGTTCCATTGTATCTGTTAAGGTGTACATTTTTCTCTCTGTTTAATTATTTATTCTTTACATTCTTCAAAGCTGCAATGATGTATCCCTAATGAGTTTCTTTTTTAGGATCTTGGAGGTTCTTCGAGGACCAATATCTTATGCTCTCATATGTGTAGTGAAATATATAAATAACGGATCCCTATATGTTATGTTAGGTTTTAACGTACTTGGATTCCACTGCTCAGATGTCAGGTTTATTACAGCCTTCATCAACACAAAACTGGCTTAATTCTCCAAGTAGCTCATCTGGTCTAATTGTTAAGCGAACAATCCGGGTGGATATTCCAGTGGACAAATATCCTAATGTATGGATGAACTGCTAGATCCTGTTAATTTCTCAATGTATTTCTCTTTGGTTGTCTGACATCATTTTATTATTGCAGTATAACTTTGTTGGACGGTTGCTGGGCCCTAGGGGGAACTCTCTTAAACGAGTGGAAGCAACTACTGAGTGCCGTGTTCTGATTAGGGGCCGTGGTAGCATAAAAGATCCGACAAGGGTAATAATGAGACTTTTCTTCTTTGATGATTGCACTGATTTCACATTCATGCATACCAAAAGTATTCTGAATGAACATCTGTTGCTCTATGCTGTAAATGAGAATTTCCATTTATTCAGTCCTCATTATGAGGATCTAATGTCAGTTCACTGTACTATTTTTGTTCTGAAGGAAGAAATGATGAGAGGAAAGCCAGGGTATGAACATTTGAACGAGCCTCTTCATATTCTGGTGGAGGCAGAACTACCAGTTGAAATTATTGATGCTCGTTTATCGCAAGCACGTGAGGTACTTGAAGATTTACTCAGGCCTGTGGTATGTTTTCTCTCCTCTTATTTGGAAAAGGTTTTCCTCTTCCTGGCAAGTAAATTTTGTGAATTCTGCCTGCAAAACAGCAAAACTCTTGACCATGTTTTGGAATAATTTCGGCACTAATTGGGTTCCTTTTCCTTTTCAAAATATATTATTTAGGATGAGTCTCAGGATTTCTACAAGAAACAGCAGCTGCGAGAGTTGGCAATGCTCAATGGTACACTTCGTGAAGAGGGTTCTCCAATGTCTGGTTCTGTGTCACCCTTCCACAACAGTCTTGGTATGAAGAGGGCCAAAACCAGGGGGTAATGGATGCTCTTCTTGGAGGGCTCTCGGAGCTTGTTTGTTAATTTCTGCCAGTAAACAGCAGTTTCCACGCCACAGGTGTTGCTGTGTCAGCCAATCCAACAACTGCCATCGGGGCACTGGCAACACCATTGTGTGCCAGTTCTAACTTGTTTCTATATCAAGTGTGTGTACCTACTGTTCGGGGGGAGGTTGACGTATTCGCATAAACAGGGACAGTTTGATTTCGGGGGGTTTGCTTTTGTATGTTGCATTAGACAGTTTGGTCCGAGCATTTGCTCTCCAAGCCGGTCCTTATACTATTATAAGCATGTGATGACAGTTTTGTTACCGTCTTGGGGTTTCTGTGAGTAAGCTATGGCATGGTGTGTATACGAATAGTGAGGCGAACATATGATCTACCCGAAGCATGTTGTCTGGGTTGGAGTATGTTGTACCATCTAGATTCTTTGTTTTGTTCTAGAGTCACTTTTCATGTTATTTGTTGCTTTGTGCTCTAACATTTCTGGTTGTCGTATTTGTCGTCAACGATTTAAAGACTTATAGTTTTGTAATTTTAATTCTGTTGAAGTTGCACTGTGTATGTGTTTACAGGTCCAGACCGAAAAATAAGTAGTTGCATGTTACTAGAAGTTGAACAAATTGACTTTTGCACATAAAGGCATATGGAGTTAGTAATATTTATTAAGCCTTTGCACAATTAGGGCCCGTTTGGAGTGGTTATGTATATAGGCTAGAATCACTTCTGGAGAGAAGCACCTCTTATGTGATTCTCTATATAATTACTTTTTAAGTGATTTTAAGTAATTCATAGTGATTTTTGGCCTATCTAGAATCAACAATAGCTTATAGGCTTATAGGCTTCTAAAATTGGGAAACGATAGTATTCTTTTGGGGATGTATTAAAACAGTTGGGAAATAGTCGAAAAGATTGCAATTCAGTAAGATTCAAGGCATCTAAACGCCACCAATGCGGGGTTACCACAACGGTTGTGGCCATCCCCTTTTCCCCTTACTTGGCACTCAGGATCGAAACCCCTGGTTTCCTTCCTCCCAATGTAGCAAAAAACAAAAGGCATCTAAGCCCCATCCTAAGGTGGGGAAAAAAGGGTCCCCCTCCTTAGAAGCCATGAACAAACAAATGCAACCCGATTCTTCTTGTGGCATATGAATATAAGATAGGAAAATCCTTTAACACAACACATCATCAAGTATTAAGTAAAATAAAGATTGCTGATAATAAGAGAAATTAGAACAAGTCTACATTTCCAACTATGTACATAGGGATCTCAGTGAAGGACTCGTTGCAAAATTTTACATGCTCTATGTCAATTGGCCCATTATTGGAAAAGCAAATGAGACCTTGTTTTGGAACTTCCAGGACTTGATTATATAATATCAGCCATGGTAAAGCAGAGCCAACTGCATGGAGAAGCTAAAAGCTACCAAACCTTCTCTTCCTGCTCAGTCCTCATCCTCGTCCTCAAGATCGTCAATTCCGATCCATCGGGTAAATGCAAACAGAAACTCCTTGAAGTTCACCATTCCATTTTTGTCCCAGTCCATCTCTTCTGAAACAACAGAAAAGTGAGAGATTAATAAGCAAAGGGGTTCTCTGTACCAGATAACTTCAGACCATTTAACTAGATGAAGTAATTCCTATGAGATCACCATTATAGCTACGAACTAATAGAATCACAAGCTTCCATTTTCATCAAGTTACAAAATTTTCTCAGCAAATCATCCATGCAAATGCATACAGATATACACAAATGATCTTAGGCGCACAGCGTGCAATAGGTAATGATTCTACTACGGTGCGACAAATTCGCAAACTGATCCTAAGTAATCGTTGTTGTTCATTGGATTCCGGAGGAACTACTAGCAAAGAAATGATTCATTCTAATGAATGTAACGACCCTATATATTCACAAGTAAAAAGAATCCTTTACAAAGGAAACCACATGTTCTAGTATGCCATAATGTGTGTGTTTGTGTGAGTGTGGGTTGCTCTGAGATAGAGAGAGAAAGAGAGGCAGACCAAATCTTTTCATGGCTATTCGGCCAGAGGAGCGTTCTCCTGTTGTAGTTTCATTAATGGCCTGGACCATTTCACTCTTGCTGACATAACCATCCTTGTTCTTATCCAAGAACACAAATGCGTCTATCAATGTTTCGAATGTCGCCTCCAGATCTGGCATTTCCATATGCAATTTCTAGGAAAGTCATGGAATACAAAGAGAACAAGCAAATGAAAAGAAAAGAAAACTGGAAAATAAGATTGCCTCCCAGACAATTCCTCTATTTATGAATTGTTAAAGAGCAACAAATGGTAGCTAAAAAAGAATATGTAGAATAAAAGTTTTGTGTTTCGGATACAGTGTGAACGTCATTACTGTCATCCTTGAGAAGATAGACTAGGCAAATGAGAACAATGAACTCATTAAACTTGATACCCATGTCCTCGTTAATATCACATGCCACAAAGAGATCACTGATTTCCTCATCTGTAAAAGAGACTTCCAGCTTATAAAAACATTTTTTCATCTCTTCTTGATCGATTGCGCCATTTGAATCCTCATCTGTCAAGAAAAGAAAAAGAACAAACCTCTTAGCAGTTACCAATTACGAGGACAAGGAAAACAGAAGAAGAAAAAAGCATATTCTTTGGTGGAATATGTTAATGGAAGAAATATGCTTAACCTAGACTGTTCAAATCTAGGCAAAGCAAAATTGGTAGAGTCAGAGTGCCTTTATTATCGATGAAAACATTGATGCATGCCTATGTATTGTTTTGCTAAGGATCACAACATATAACTTTAAGCCTATATTTTTACTACATGTTTTACTTTGCAGATACATATTTAAGATACAATTGAATAAGAACTGGATGCACACCAAATTGCTCAAAAATAGCCTTGCACTTTCTTAAGCTTTCGTCAATCTTTCGAAACTTCAAGATGAGGCTGTTAAACGATTTCATAACACTTCCTTTAACTGCTCTGCGCTTCATAGCTTCAACCATTTTGGCCTCTAGCTTCGTTTCATGGATTGAAAACTGTCTAGGGGAATCCCCCTTTCCCACTACAGCCCCCATTGCCAATTAATAAGACAAAAATTGGGATGCAGGCGCGGATTTAACTAGTGTACCTGACCAGTTAAGTAAATCAACACTTCAGCTGATATTCGAACCACTACTGCAAACTAATGCGATGAAGAAAACTAAGAATCAATTTCAATGAAAAGAACTGAATAAACAGATGAGCAACACTGTAAGGATTGTGCAGCTCAATTCCAGCCTTCTGGCATCACATCATCGCACTTCGAATAAGATCAAAGTGATGATGAATCTTGCCAGAAACCATCTAACATGCCATTGGTTTAGTGCTACTATAGATGCAATTATGCACTGACCAAGTAAACTTAAACCATTTTCACCAACTTAAAGATTCAAAATTAGATAAAGCACAAATTGATTATACATACAATTCAAATTAACAAAACATACAACAACTGGTTTGAATTGTTGAATCATATCACAACTTTTCACTCTCAAGTGATCCAAAAGGGACACAAGTCAACTACTTTTTCATTTCAATAGTAAATTGGCAAAAATCTCATGCTTAGTTTATCAAATTCAAGAAACTAACAAATTGATTAAGAATAAGAGAAGATTAATGAAAGTATGAGCTCTGACTAAAAAGATGATTTGAACTAATGGAAGAACACACACCAGAAAATTCCCAGGCTCTTTTTACTGAATGAAACTTGAAACTTAACAGGATCAGAAGCGCCAAAATGAACAAATCAAGAACCCTGAAACATGAAGAACAGAGAAATGTCTTCCTTTTGTTTGTGCCTGAAATTGATCATAAACCAAAGAAGCAGATAAAACCATCCAACAAATAAGAAAAAAGGAGAGGAAAAATGGAAGAGAGCGAAGGTGTCAAAGTTTTGGTGCAGTTTATTGGCGTTGCAAACAAAGATGCAAAGCCAAAGTATGAGGGGGGGAGTTTGGTTTGTTAGTCAGATGGGGTTGGCTTCATGTTTCTCCCTTTGGCTTCCGAACCAACGTTTGTGCTCTACCCACCACGTATTGCAGTCCTTCTCCATCCATCTCCAAAATCGCTTTCAAATTTACAACAAATACCACCTTCGCTGACTTTTCACAAGAATACAACGAAAGACTGAAAAACCATTTTATGAACGCTATCCATATATTAAATGCACGAATGTGGAAAATCAACCACATATATTAGAGGGGGGAGACCAAACTTCATTATCCAATAGTTAAAAACACACATAAAATTGGAAAAAATTTGTAGTTCGAGCGGTTAAGAATTCAATCGATTCTCCTATACTTTAATATGCTTATATAAAAGAATTATAAAGTTTCAAAATTAACAATCCTTAAGAAGGGACATATTTTATTTGTGGGAGTGATATTCTTAATCACCCTGGTTATAGACGTTGTCATTAAAAGTAGCTGACATTTCAAACTCCGAGGAAGTCCACACCATACATTTATTGTAGCTTTGTTGTTCGTGCTCATATTAATTTCCAAAAGTAAGCATATTGAAGAAGTGCCAAGGTAATTCTCGATGCACAAAAACATGCACGTGATTCCTAATCATTAATGCATGTACGATTAAAAAATAAACGTGTATGAGTGATTAATCGTAACATGTCTTTTTGTGATTTGATTGCTTGTTTTAAAAAAAAACCTAATGGTTTGTGAGTGTAGATGTAGTGATATACTATTATATTTTTCCACTCAAATGTCTCATTATTAATTTGTGTGTGTACATGAAGTGTTTCTTTGGTACACACTCTCTTATAATTGTTGTATGGTAGGGGCCATACTTGTAAGAGAAAGAAAGTAGCTTCCAATCATAAGATGCTTTGGAATATTCGTATGCCACTAACGTTTCCCCAATCCTGAATAGTCCCAACTGGACAACACCCATGAGCCATGTTTGTGGAGAAGAGAATTGAAAAAAAAACAAAAAAAAAAACAAGGAAAAGAAAGAAGAAGAAGAATAGTTTGAGGGCTATGGTTGAGCCCACACTTTTGAGCTGACCCAATTTATTGGGTCTCAGAGTAAAAGCCCTTGTAAGTATTTCTATAAATTCTGTGGATATTTTAGCACAAAAAGATAAGCTATTTAAGAAAAATATATTAGAGGCTTAAAATATTCTTCTTCTTTTTTCTTTCTTTTTTGGGTTAATGAACAAGAAAAATATATTTAATAATGAATAGGAAAAGGTGACAAATAAGAAGGTGACGAATAGGGAGCTTACGTGGCGGAAATCAAATTCGAGTTTCACATGAAAACGCCCTCACTCACTCTGTGCTCTATATATAAAAAGCCAAACCCAAACCCACTTCTGCGTATCTCCTCTCGCTGTACGGCTCTCAGTTGGGAGTTTCTCTCTGTTTCTCGAAGCTCAAGCTCCCAAACCCAAAACGAAAACCCTAACCCGATTCACCGGTGAGCCAAGCCCTACCATCTTCTCCTCGATTCACTAATTTGTTATGCTTTCGTTTTTTCTTTACCGTTTTGATTGTTGATTTGTGGAACAATTATCGGAGCAAACTTAGATTTTTAGGTTCGTAATTTTCGTTTGATTGTTGTGTTTGTTTCGAATTTTTTCTGATTTATTTTTGAAACGATGAATTTTTTTTGGTTATTTTTATGAATGAATTTAATTAAAGTGATGACTCTCAATAATTAGGCTTTTCGTATCTGAATAGATCGTCACGATGCCTTGGTTAGTTGGGAGTTTATCAATTTTGTAATGCTAAATTTTTCAAGTTTAAGAATTATGAACCCTAGTGTTGGTTCAGTAATAGTACTGAGATGGATAGATAAGGGTTTCGATGTGATATTGTGAGTTTGTTTTAATTTAAGAAATCCTCCCTTTTTAGTTTTTTAAATTAGGCACCCAATTTGTTTTAGGAGAATGGAGCATCTGTAGTGTTAAAATTTGTATGTATCTGGTGATGGGTCCGTTATTTTGCTCCTTATGCAAGCTATACTTTAGTGGCTCATCTGGATGGTATAGGCTAATGGGCTTGTACTGTTTAATGAACTTTTCACTTTTCATCACAGAATTGAATTTAACACAGAATTTTCCTGTTTTCTTTTTTTGGTTGGGGAACCTCAGTCAGATGTATAGAGTAATTTGTCTTAACGTTATTGTGTTTGACCTTGCAGCAAACTATTCTAGTATTTCATCATGGCCTCAAAGCGAATCAACAAGGAGTTGAAGGACCTTCAGAAAGACCCACCCGCATCCTGCAGTGCTGGTATTTTTTCTATTCTCTCATAATTTTCAAATCTTTATTTTGTTATGTATATTTTCCAGTCAGTTGGTAGCTTGTACATGTGAAGTTCCACATTGACCAGTTATAGTTCAAGTGTTCATCTTTTCCCAGCTAGAATTTTTGTTGTGTCCTTGCTTTTGATTCATGAAGGTTATATGAAGAGAGTGTTCTCATTCATTATTGGCATAGAGAGTTCAGCTGATTATATGAAGACAGTGTTCTCATTCATTATTGTGCATTGCTTGGTATCTTAGGCTGCTGGTTAAATGAGACTTTTAATGCTCTCTCCCTCTTGCCTTAGGTAAATGTGTTTGTTATGGTATCAAAAATATTGTCCTCAGCAGTTTATTTTATTGTAAAGTCCTGATAGTTCCTTCGGGAAGGACCCAATGCGGCTGGTTAGTTTAATCAGAGATGTATGCGACTGGTTAGTGTTACCTTGCATTCTTCCGGTTGGGTGGATATATTGGTTGTTTTGAAATATTGTATGTAATTAATTATTTAACCACACTTTTTTTTTTGGTAAGAACTGGGGTTTAATGCAGAAGAGAAAAGAGGCATCAAGGTTTCACTATTGAAGTTTCTTACAAAATACTACTGTTTCAGTGTGGTTTACAATTAAGTTTTCTATTTTTACAGGTCCTGTTGCTGATGATATGTTCCACTGGCAAGCGACTATTATGGGTCCAGCAGACAGCCCATTTGCTGGAGGTGTTTTTCTTGTATCCATTCACTTCCCACCTGATTACCCTTTCAAGCCACCCAAGGTATAATGGTACTTCCATGAAAAATTTGTTTTGCTGGTACTGTCCCAATACAACCTAGAGCTTCCAGAACTTTTATCAAGCTGTTTTAGGCTTTTTGATTTTACTGCAGTTGTATTGGTGTAAGTTTTTTATTTATTTCTCTAATTGTCCTTTGGGGTAAAGATGCTCATAACATGCTCACTATTCTTGCATTGAACAGGTTGCCTTCCGGACAAAAGTCTACCATCCGAACATTAATAGCAATGGTAGTATCTGCCTTGACATCCTCAAAGAGCAGTGGAGCCCTGCCCTGACCATTTCCAAGGTAACATACTTGTCCCTTATATGGATTTTTTTGTTCTTTCAGTGTTGTTCCATATTGATGCGCATTATTTATCAGCTAAATAAAAATGAAATACTTCTTGCAGGTACTTCTCTCCATATGCTCGCTGCTGACAGATCCAAACCCCGATGATCCTCTGGTGCCTGAAATTGCTCACATGTACAAGACTGATAGAGTGAAGTATGAGACTACTGCTCGATCCTGGACTCAGAAGTATGCCATGGGCTAGGGGCTTTTCTTCTGCCTGAGGAGGAGATCTATTATGCTTAAATGTTATTCTAATAGTAAATAAAAATAGATGTAAGAAGTGGAACTGGGTTTAAGGTACTTGTTCTTGTTTGGTCTGCTTATTGTCTCTTTTGTTCTGGAGATGGCCCTACACAGTTGGGCTTCTTTTAGCTGAGACAATGCTATTTCAATAGGTCGGTATAGTAATTGAAAGTTTGGTGGAAAATTTGTCTTTGCTATATGCATTTCTTATTTTGCTTGCATGATGAGTCTCTGCTTTTATCTGATGTTGTATGTGCATGAGAAGAGGTCAAGTGTTTCGTCTGCATTTATTCATTTGAAATTTTGAAGCATATCAACATTGAAGCAATTTCAAATGTTTCAATCCCACGGGAGTTGCTATAATGAGGGGGCTATGTTGAGGGGGTGAGCCGTCCGATAATGACTTAATGACTATGCAATTGATCGGATGACTATTAAGATAGGATTCCTTCATTGTAACCTCCCATTGCAGTCTCTGCAATCTCGCATTCGCAAATCTCTGAAACTTTGGGCTACATTTCAACTTGAAGTGCACGTCTCAGATGTAAAAAGGTAGAAAATGGAAAACAAATCTGAGACAATGCAAGGGCATGTAGTTTGGGCCTTAAGATGTCAGACGTCATGTCGTGGTTAGGTTTAGCCCATTGTCACATTGAGGCATCTGGGCCTCAACATATTGTCCTTCCTTGTAGAATTCTCCACTTCTTTGCCTTTTGTTTTCCTTGTTTTCATTCCTCAAGAATGGAGAAACAATGTTGGGGGCGTGGTCAAAAGGCTGTGGGCACGGAGCACTTCACCAACCGGACCAAACCAGTGAAATCATATGGAGTTTGTACTGAAATCCAGAGGCCAGGGTGGGCCATTCTGCTGAGGCAATGTTTTGTTGGGTTCACTGTCCTTTTCTATTTGTTTCTTTGCTATCGCATATTTACCGTGAAGGGAAATTCTGTAATGTAAGGTACCGTTAAATGTTAATCATGTTATGTTAGTCACTCAATTACATTAATCTGGCTTCTTTACGAAGATAAACCCTAGTGGGGATATACAAAAGTAAAGTAATCATAATATGTAAATCTCATTTTGTGGTCACATAATATTATTAGTCATGAGTTGATATTTTTTTGATACTATACTCTAGAAATGTGAAATATGAACTTTTCCGTTTACGCATATTATAACACGTGATCGTACATCATGGTCTTATTTGCATATATTACCCCTGGTAATTGAAACTCAAAGCCAAACTGTAAATTTTTTAGTTTTTAATTTTCAGTATCTTGCGCAGCTGTTGCATGTTGGCCTCTAATGACGGTGTGAAAACAAATGTCTGCATGAATGGGACCCATGAACACTCATCCACCCTAATTTATAGCATGTTTCTTCCACCACACCTTTGCTTGCTTTTTGCTGTCTCCCTCTCTCGTATCGTATTATTTATCTTTCTTCTCTCCGAGTAAACCAAGCACTGCAAAGGAACATGGGTCTCCATATATTTTTTCCAAATGCTGTAAAAGTTTCAGCCAAAGGAATGGGGGGAGGGGGGCAGCAGAAGTGACTTAAGAACAAGGACCCCTTTTTTTGGGTGAAATTTACTATTGGCTTGGCTCTCAATGGGTCCAAGACAAAACCCAAATTATGCATTGCAGTTTGGCTCTTCTGAAATATTTATTCATGCTTGCTTCTTTCCCCAGAGCATGAAGTGAAAGGCACATGGCTATGATTGCTTGCCATCATGTTATAAGGACAATGATAAGGTACTTTATTTACTGCTGACCAAAAAAATATAACTCATTTATCATTTATTATTATCACTTAATAAATAACTTGTAATTTAAGTTAATGATCATCTAAAAGAAATTAGACACGATTAAATTAGAAGTATTTTGCTCTAACACGTAATTCTTGAGTGCTTATGTATCATGATATACTTTTACTTGTATTTTCTATTTCGGCCGCTAACTTCTATACATACAGCAAGTAAAACAATTTGGTTTCTCTTCAAGAAGGAAGGAAATTGTTGTTGTTGTTCCTATTGGCATAGTGCACTAGCGATTAACATTTACCTTTCTTTCAAAGTGAGAAAAGGCATCTGAATTTGACCCCCAAAAAAAAGGGGTGAGAAAATGTTAGGGTAGTCCTAAGTTCTTAACCAATGAATGTGCATTGACCCGAAAGGAAGTATCTTGTCTTAGCAAAAGCTGTTGGTCAAGATTTTGATGTCGGCGCGTAGGATACTCATCATCTACGGTACTCTAATGTATGTGTATTATTTTGAAGTCACACTGTATTCTATATTTAATTAAATTAATTAATTAGTATTATTCTGAGAGAAAAGAAAAGACTAAGGAGAGAGGAGAGCGTGCCAAGCTTTTGTAAAAGAGATGCTTATTTTATATAACATCTTCTCAATTTCCAAGTAATTGTGACTCATCCGCTGCCAAAATGCTTTTTTTCTGTTCTTTTTTTTTTTTTGGGTCAAAGTGCCAAATTGTACTTAGGTTGGGTTTTTTTTGTTTTCTTTTCAGTCTTTTAGGATTTTTTTTTATAAAAAAATTAGGTAGTACTATTTTCTTTTTATGAACTCATATAATTTTTAATTAGATGGTTTACTCTATATAAGTTTTTCTAGAGAGAGAGAGAGAGAGAGAGGTTTGTTTAATATGAAAGATGGCGGGGTTAACTTATAGTCAAACAAAATTGTTATAAAAATGAAGAAGATTGACCAGAGTGTGAGTGTGGGATATAAAATTTTAAAAAAATGAGAAAACCAAAGCAAATGATGAGGAGTATATAATATCTTAGAAAAGAATTAAGATGGAAGATTGAGTGAATGATTAAATAATGAATGAATGGGAAGTGGAAGGAGAAGGGGAATGCCAAACAAATGAAATGATTTTCGTTTCATGAGATGAGCCCACTAAAGATATGGCGAGAACCAGGGGAGCCAAAGGCAGCAGGAGCACAGCAGGCACAAGCATCAACTCTCTCTCTCTCTCTGTGAGTAACACAATAGATATAGAGATAGATATAGAGATATGATTATATCTTTGTGCATGCGGCTGGCTATATAGGTCACAGCTAGCTACACAGCAATATAGAAAGTGTGGTCTAAAACATAGCAAAAAGCTCGATATGCAGGAGGGCAGGTTGTCAGAAAAACTACAGAGAATCACGGGCTTCCCTTTTTTTCCTTTTGATCTTTTTCTTTTGGGTAGCTAAAGATAAAGAAAAGAAGAAAAGAATGTGTTGATTATAAAAACAAAAGAGTTACTTGGGAGTGAGAAACAAGGACGTATCAATCACAAAAAGAAATTTGAGAAAGAGAGTGTGATTCTCCCTGCAACGAAATCTTAATGGGAAGAGAGAGAGAGGGGGAAGAAAGTATCTATTGATTGTCGGTTTCTTTAGGGTACATTGGAATATCTGAACGGTATGTCATTTACGATGATGACACTCGTTAGGACAACACAGCCATGCAGTAGAGAGAGGGAGAGAGAGAGAGAGAGGACATGGTACTGGTGAAAGCTTGACTTGGCCTAAAACATTAAGCTAGTAGTAGGGTGCAATGCGTTATGTTATTTATGGGGACTAGGGAGAGAGAGAGAGAGAGAGAGATTCAAGTAATGAAAGTGACATATAACTGGCAACAGCTTTTATTTCTCTTCTTTTTTCTTGAAACTGACCTCTCTCCCTACCGACGCCCACTGAGGTGAGCAGTACTATACTATGTGGTCTTCAATAGGAGCAACGAATTAACCAGAAACTATAAAATATCCCCTCCCCATCCATCTTGCATTGGGATTTCAAAGGTACCAACTAGCTTTCGATTTAATGGTATTTATCTTTACTTGTTGGAGGAGATTTCTAATTCGATTTACGTAGATGATAAAGACGATAATTCGATACTTAGTTGCTTATGGCTAAACTTAGTATTATGATGTAGTCTTATTGTAAGTGTATTAGATGTTTATTTTTCGAATATATTAGTTCGTTTAATATATATTGAATATATCCTTATTTTTTAAAAGGGAGATTCAAAGTCAAATGTTGCAATGTGGTGGTAACAACAAAAGAGAGCTAATGGTGTAAAGTAGTTAACCTTTACGGGATATGCAATAAATTAACAAAATGTAATCAGTCAATCTCATCTGTATGTATAATGTATCGATAAAGATTAGGTATGCCAATCAAAGGTTGGGAGTTTCTTGTAGATAAGATAAGCATGTACATATATTTGAGGGACTATATTAGTTCGTTTAATATATATTGAATATATCCTTATTTTTTAAAAGGGAGATTCAAAGTCAAATCTTGCAATGTCGTGGTAACAACAAAAGAGAGCTAATGGTGTAAAGTGGTTAACCTTTACGGGATATGCAGTAAATTAACAAAATGTAATCAGTCAATCTCATCTGTATGTATAATGTATCGGTAAAGATTAGGTATGCCAATCAAAGGTTGGGAGTTTCTTGTAGATAAGATAAGCATGTACATATATTTGAGGGATGTCTTTTAGGGTTCCTTATAATAAAAAATTTAACGATCCAAATCGTCCATTTTTCAAATCTTTATTTATAGATCATTCTTATAAAAAAAATCATGCAAATTGAAAATCATTAAAGCATATAATTGGGACCCGAACGAACATATTGCTTCAAGAGAAACTATAATAACAATCATATAATTAAGTCGGTAATCAGAAAGCACTATTAAGTGGAGACTGTTGATATCTGATCCCACAATCCCTAGGGGGACCTCTCGCCAAATATATGCATTTTCTAATCAAGTGATCGATCTCAAAAGATTTCGTGTAATGTAATTTCACAAACTGGGCAAATGGCTCAAATTCAAATATGTGCAAATGGATTGTTAAAGGGGAAGGAAACACAGATTGCGTAGGGCGGTGGGATTGACAAAGAAAACACAAATCGATTTTGTAAATCACGTTTTTGGATTGACTTTGCTGTCTTATTGCATTTACGTGATGGTTTGCACTCACTATTATCTCATATTCAAAACATTAGTGGCCTTTTTTTGATATTGGGTTTTAGTGACTTGTGAAATGTGATGACTCAATATCCCATGAAGATTACCTAATCCATCTCAATTCTAGATCGATCATACGTACCCACCAAACCAAACAATACGAATAGCTTTTTCAAAGATTAATCTTCCTTTTATATCATGGAAAATGCGA